AAAAAAAAAAAAAAAAAAAAAAAAAAAAAAAAGAGGTAAAGTAAATGAAAATTAAAGCTAAATTTTAGCTCTTCACCGCTTAACGACCAAATTGCATTCATATCTACTCAAAAACACTGCAATATTATAAGAAAAACACAAGAACCTCAACTTTCAGAAAACCCAGCTTCATCGTTCTCTTTATGTATTTATAAAAACAACAGCGGTAAACGAACTAAGGAGAAGGATGAACACATGAAATTATAAAGATAGCACCAACAAATGTAAAGAACAGAAGCCTTGTTGCTGCAGTTGAGTCCAATCAGTATTAATACAACTAATACATGTTTTCAGTTTACAGCTAAATTGTGACGAGCAAAAACTGCTCTCAATCTATAACGCTGTTCCAACAACATACTCCACTAAACAAACATGTTCCTTCCACTTGCGAAAGTTAAATATTTTTCAAATCTGCCGTCGTCAGCAGCACCAGCAAAGAATAAAAACGTTTCAATGATGTATCTATTTATTAATATTATGACTACTGCAGACCCTATGACGCAACAGCAATACGAGCATCAAAAGATAACAGTGATAATATTAAAGCAATATGAAAAGGGTTTTCCACAAACTTTGGGTCCGGATAATAATTATCAAATAACATCTCTAAAATGTAACCAATCTGTAAAAAAGATAGAAAAAACCCGCTCCAAAGGAAGGTATTTTGCGATATCCATAGGTGATCAGACTTATTCTCTCCCACATCTCTGGCCAAAAATTTAATGTGCAATAAAGTTAATTGGAATTTTTGCACCATATATGTTAATTCCGTACGATAAAAGAAACTTCATACCAAAATTTGTAAAGCAAAAAAAAAAAACAGCGACCACTGGCCAGTTTACATTTGTAAATCAAATAAAGAGCGAAAAAAGAATAAGCGGAATGAAGTGTAACAAAATACAATTGTTTGGTAGTTAACCATGAAAATAAATAAAAGACCTCTTTTACCCGCACAATTCCTTTCAGAAAATTAATGCAAAAAAAATTTTAAGTTATCCTCGAATAAGAATATTGATAAACGGCAGAAAAAACTGTTACCTTCCTCGTTTTATTAAACTTTTTCTCCCACTGACTAATTTTTCCACCCCCAAAAGTGTACTTTAACAAAGCAGTAATTAACTAAAAAGGCATAAAACATCGATTGAGAGACGGCTTGAAAAGCTAGAACATATAAAGTAGAACTGGTGACAAAATAGAAGAACTTAACTGAGAAATATATCAAGCAGGACGGCTATGCAAGACCTAAACAAAAAGGTTTAAGCTTCAGAGCTAAGGAATATTTTCATGCTTCAGTTAAAATACAGCTCATCTAACCGCATCAGACAAAACTGCAAAAGACGTTAGAAGACAAGTTTTGAAAGTAAAAAACAAAATCATAAACTATACCTGGAACCTGCCTTTCTTTCCCGCTTTTGCTACATCGGTTGTGTGACGTCCGTCACAAAAAAAACTGCCAGTGCTTCAATCAATGCGCTTTTGACTAAGAAAATGAATTATTGTTCTCCGTATCTGTAAAACATTCATTTAATGTACTACCACCAACCAAGGAACTTCACTCGCTCGAGAAAGCGCGAAGAAAAAAAAAACGAAGAACACGACAAAAAAGCTATTACAAAGCTGGAGAACGGACAGAACAAATCAATAATGCAAGTGTTAAGATTTAAAAAAATTTAACCATCCTTCAAAACGAATAACACGAACTAATCAAGCAAAATATAAAACAATATATACATCTTAGAAAATTACACCAAAAACGATTGAAGAAGCTACTGCTCTGCATAGTTAGTCAAAAAAGAAAAAAAAAAAAGCAGAAGTTCGACTATGAAATCTCGTCTACCTCTGAAATGAAATTTTTTTTATTACTTCGACTCTCTAACCACACTACCGTGCAACTTTGATTGTTTGAATGACAAGAACAAAAAAAAAAAAGGAAAACTTGTCACTGTAATTATGGCGAAAGTAATGAATGAACTTAGGACTGACAGACCATGTAAAACAATCAGGAAACGCCTACTACGTGTCACCTACAAGAGAAACTAAGAACATATTTTGTCATTATTGCCCACTTCCCTACTCAGATATTAAGATATTTAGGTAACTTCAAAATTATTTTTACACAATCTCCATGACTGCCTCTGAAATAAACCATCTGTTCAGATGCTATGAATAACTGTAAAAATTGCTCATATGACAAGCCATTTTCAGAATTCCCTTGAAAAACTGCTTCTCACTTTTCGGTTTTACTGATCTTCATCTACAATTCTTTTACCGGAATGGAGACGT